ATATTTTTATGCGTCAGAAAATTTTGAAATTTCACATGCAAAATCTTTATAATGTCCAGATAGTTATCAAGCATTTAAGAAAAAAACATTATATTTTATCTGTTATTTTCAGAAATCAATCTCTCTAAGGGTTAGGTAAATTTGACCGATCTCGCAGCTGCCATAAAAAATTAGTAAATAAACAAATTATACCTTTCAATCTAGAATAAACACAAATTATAACACGAAAACATAAATGTTTAGACGAAATAGCATAAATCTCATAACATTTTACATTTATAAATATTTATTATTTCTATTATATTGACTTTTCACCCATGCCTAGCTTCTGATTGGCTATTCATGTCATATATAGAAGTAAGTGTTTATAAGGGAGCATTTCCAAAAATGGAAGGAGGTGAGCAGGGTGCCACTATGTTTGATTTATTACGTGAGCAATATCTTAGCAAATAGAAAAGATTAGAACTTATTTTATATTCTAGCTTGTCAATACCTGTAATTTAAGTTTCTAATTCGTATGAAACAACAGACTTAGTATTTTGACTTCACAAACATCTCACATCTAATTTGAATCAGTGCTGCATTCAACATACCACGTGACACACACAAAAAATCGATGTTTATCTGTTTTTTAATATTTACTTTTAAATTAAAAATTTAGTAATGTATAGTTCTAATATTTGAATTATAATCTACAGTTTGATAGCAAACATATTGACATAAATTCATGAAATAGTAGTTCAATAAAACTGAATGTGAATCAACAAACAAGATGACATGGTCTTTCACCTGTGACTGGTCTGGAAGGGGTTAATAAATATAATCACCTACCTATGATCATCACTTAGTGTCAGAAACTAATCAATGAATCTAAATTACTCTTAAGTCCTTTAATATCACAAAAATTAACTAATCAAAATCAGTGCTTCCAATACAAGCATCATGAGTAATTGATTAATGAGCCTGATAATTTATTATGAAATTCCATCACAACTTGCTCCCACACCATATCCATTCAATCATTGCATATCTCATAAATCTGGAGATTAAAATGAATATTCATGCTATTCCATATGGATACATACTGGTCAAGTCACCAAATGCATCAAATATGGATTTCTATGCAACAAGCACTGTGAAACCACCATCCACATACACCAGATGGATTATGATGGGCCTACATGGAGCAGTGGTATGCTTATGACATGACAGCTTTACAATGGAGTTTTATGCAACGGAAACTAAATGTCATCAGATAAGGCATGATTGAATATAGCAACATGGATTTTAACAAAGTGAAGATGTTCCAAAATTGTTTTTGTTTGGTGTACTCAACCTGATTACAAACAATAAGGCAGATTATAAAAATTCTACTGGGAAAAACACGTCCCACAACAAATATTCAAACATATTACAGTTATGAAAAGGGGGGGGGGAGAGATTGCTTTTCTTATCGCTGTGGGTACGTTTTGGAGAACCAGTTACAATGTGCTTTAAAAATATAGTTAAAACCAAGGATCACTTGGAAAAGGTCATAGAGGACCTACAATTCAAAGTCCTCAGCCCTACTCACATCCAAAAAATATACTAAATGAAAACGTTTCATGGTGCAAGTAAGTTATATGGTGGACCTGATGCATTCAGTTTCTTATTCTATCAAAAAGCCTGAAAATGACAAAAGAATGCTGCCTAAGGTGGACCCTACTGGTCCTATCATCAAGAAGATAAGACAACACTACGAATACACTTTGTGGCCACTCTGAATAAAATGTTAGTTCCTAAGTGATAATATTAGGTTAACCTTATCTTAAAAAAACTTGATGGTGAACTTTGCTCTCTTCCTGTCCAACTAGCAACCTCTAGGTTGAACCCAAAGTGTAGAGTTCAAGATCTAAAAGATGAGCAGATTCAAGCCATAGACATGATCATGAATGTGGCTAAGCATGTTCACAATGTGGGTCCAACAAATCTTTTGCATGATTCTGTTGAATACAAAATTGAACAAATCACGGAGTGGGAATACTCTACGAAAGTCAGTTAGCATCAATACAGTGGAAAGGAGATGGAATCAGTATTTATCTAAAAGTTTTATGCATGTGTTAAATTTTTCCACCTAGTGCAAGTTTCCATCTGCTTGTGAACCTAACTGGAAAGCATTCACCAGTGTATATCAAAAGTAAATGTCTGATAATGAACACATACTGCCACCTTGTACTCAACTCACTGCAAAGAACTGAACAATTAAACTTGTTTTAATACTGTGCAATATAATTTCTACCTCTTCCAAAATTAGAACTTGAATAGAGGTACGAGAGAAAATGCAAAAGCATGGATTGAGAATAAAACACAATATACAGTAGCTGAAACTACCAAATCCACATAGGATTGGAAGCAGAAAAACTTGAAAAAAGAAATTAGTGAAGATGAAAGACCAAGTGAGACAGTCATAAATACAATGACTCTACATTGAGAGAGAAGTGACTGTTAGTGACTTCAACCATTTACTTTTGTTAGAAATGTTCACTAAAAAACACTGAACTCTGAAGAAAAAATTATCTCTACTATCATTAAGTACAGTAGTACTTAATTGTAGGGATTGTGATGAAACAAAATGGCAGCCATAAAAATCATGAATTTAAAAGCACCTTTAAAATGTCTGAATATTAACAATGACTATTTCACAGTACTGGATGAGCAAAACTAATGCTTACTGTAGTTATAATATTGCCTAAATCGCTATGTAATGAAAGGGATATTAGAGTGTGTGTGTGTGTGTGTGTTTATACATACATAAAATGGACAATGCACTACTTTGGACATATAATTAGAGTTCAGAGTAGGTTGATAGAGATCCTGATGTGTAATACAATCAAATATGGTATACTCACACCCCACACTTGGCTCAAACTAACATAATTACAGTGACTTGCCAAAGTAGGGATAATTTTTTTTAATTTTAAGTAATCGAGTTTTTGTAGTTTTAACTTTCTTGTTTCAATATATTTTGTAATATTAAAACTTTCTATATTACTATAGCTAACTAGATTCCTACTTGTCTTTATAAAATTCAAATATTTTTATTATACTTGTTATAATTATGTCTATGCCTTGTAATTCTATGTAAAGCAAAGTTCTTCAATACAGAAGTTACAACTATTAAACAGGAAAACTAACACTGTCATTATTTATCCTTTGCAATATTTTGGATGTTGATTTGTTAAACGTCAAAATTTGAAAACATTGTGGAAAATGTTATTTAAAATAAATATCTCTAGGTGAATGTACTAGGTTTCAACTCTAACAATAAAAACATCATATATCATCAATAAGCTCAACTGTCTATATAAGACAGCCTAACCATTTCTTCCTGCTTGACTACTGCTTAGTAAACTTCAGAAACCAACCCTTCTTCAAACTGAGAAGGTAAAACCCCACCTGTTTACCATATGGCTATCACACAACATTAATGTGTATATTATATTTTTCCAAGATAAACTAATCTAAACATTCTACCATAACTTCTGAACCAAACAAACAGTTTTGTATTACTTCAGGGATTGCATAATTCACTAAGAATGGTCAAAAACAAAATTCCAGGATCGAATTACCTATTCTGTGGGACCATGAAATGTCTTGATGTTACCTACATATTTAAAAGAAGCACAAGAAGTTTTTTTTTCCTCTTAGCAAAAACATAACACCACGAGTGGGGACAGAAAAGAATTGACTAATTCCCGGGTTATAAACCAAAATAACTGCCATTACTTGATTAGACTCAAGCCTACTAAATTTGCCTCATAAATAAGATGTGAAACTTAAAATAATTTGTTCTTTTAAATTCTCAAT